TGTTTTTATTTTGATTTATTTATTTACTTACTCTGAACAATCTTTTTAATGTTTTTATTATTCTATGTATATATGTATCATTTTTGTGATTGTGTGGAGGAGTGCAAGGGGTCTGTGTGGTGTAACTGAAAAAAATATCTCCCAAGGGAGACAAATAGTACGGAGCCCCTCTGATGACGTGGTCCAAAAAATAAATAAATTATGGCCACAAAATACTAATTCGTGCCGTCGAAATAGTATGACGTGCCCACGAAATACTTAATTGTGGCCACAAAATACTATTTCGAGGGCACGAAATAGGTATAACGTGCGCACGAAATGCTAATTTGTGGGCACGAATTGGGTATAACGTGGCAATGAATTACGCATTTGTGGCAACAAAATAGATAACGTGCGCACATCATATTGATACAATTCCTGGACAGCTGCGTAGAGACATAAGCATAAGAGTAGGCTAAACCTATACACCATGGACAGAGACAGTATGATTGAGTTTTTTTTTAGGCTGGGAATGAGCTACAAATGCATTTTGAAAAGCCTGCAATGCAAGGAACCATTATTACGGAGAGACATTTAAACGGGATATTATGAGCCCAGCTGCTTTACAGACGTAAGTACGACCTGGATGCCGGGATAGATTTTATTGTCAACCAACTGCAAGGGCCTGGGAAGGATCACGGTTATCGGTCAAGTGTTTCGTGCCCACAAATGAGCATTTCTTGCGCACGTTATACCCTCGAAATAGTATTTTGTGGCCACAATTTATTTATTTTTTGGACCATGTCATCAGAGGGGCTCAGTAAAATAGAGAGACTTTGACTTGTAACAGAAAACAGCACATGGCCGAAGTTTAGCTCGTTTTCCTCTGAGCTGTATCAGCTCATCTTTACCTCTCTGAAGAGACAGACTGTTGCAGAGTAAAGCAAGGGGTTTTTATTGTCTTTTCTTTTTGATAAAGCATATTGTTATGATTGGATCACGGGACCCATTAGTTATGCAGTTGGTGCCTTCCTCTGTGTTTCTACGTCAGTCACCTTTTTCACTCACATTTGTTTTTATACACCTCTCTGCATTTAATCATTAGTTATTAATCAGTCTCTGGCTGTCTTCCACAGCATGTCTTGTCCTGTCTTCTGGTTTATGCCTGTTAAAAGGGAATTTTAAAACTTTCTGTCTTTCATTAAAATTCAACCTGATAAGTCTTTGGACTTGTTTCAATTAAATTTGAGACCTGACAGAGTGTAAATGATTACATTGTTTTTAGCAGTCGGCCAAGTCTTTTGGAAACAGGGTTACAAAAATACTACAACAGAAATAGCACTGCGAGGAAACCAGGCTCGAGCTGTTCCAGTTTGAGAATGCAGTTGTAATTTATCCCAGTTTAGACTAGTTTTCAGGACTGACCTAACTGGTTCTTCATGGCAATTAGGAAATGCATAGAAAAACATTTAATTCCACTCCCTCCAACAGACGCTCTGACAGCCGAGTCATTATGGGACATGAAAGCTTGATCCTAAACTGGCTGGACCATCGATGGACGTCCTTCCCTGATCCACACCAATCGGCAGCACAGGATGGTAACCCAGTCCCCTCTGGAGAGTTTACGCTGCACATGGACCAACGTGTGTGTGTGTGGTTGTGGGTCAGAGTGCACCAGTGACATGGAAAGAGAACACTGGAGATCAGTGTGTTCACACTGTATATTAAAATAGGATCTAACCATGTTAGCTGATGAAGTGCTAATCTGCTGTGTTCTGTTCCTTTAAGCAGTTTTATTGTTTTTATGTAATTAAAAAAAAAATCAATGTCATGTTCGGTGTGTGCTGTAAATGAATGATAAACCAGGTGGAGATTTTTCCTGCCACCATGTTTGCTTGCTTAATAAAGTTACCCTGAGAGATTCACGTGTAGCGTTGTCTGCACCAGTCAGCAGGCTCACACTGTGCTTCACATCTGACTCACAGCTGCAGAGTGTTGGGGAGTAATGGAATACATGTACCGCCGTTACGTATTTAAAATACAAAATATGAGTAACTGTATTCCATTACAGTTACCATTTAAAAAGGTGGTATTCAGAATACAGTTACTTTGCTGAAATAAATGGATTACACGGTGGTCTTTTCCTGTTTCATATGTTAGGCTGTCCCCTCTCTATTTTTGGTAATTCCACGCCGGTGGAAACCCAAACAAAACACAGAGGCTCTAATGTCTGTGTCTCAATCTAGCGTCTCATAATGACGTGAGGAAATATTTTTAAAAATGATTTAATATGTAGGCAATAACAGAGTGTTACAGGCATCGACCCAGACAACAAAGTAAAGCTAGTTTTCAGCTACGAGCCCGACACGGAGCCCGATGTATTAGCCAGAGGCCCCTTTACTACGGTTCGGAGCCGCGGACCTGTTTTATATCCGTACGGAATAGTTTTCTATACGAGATCGCTGCAAAAAGTGCAGCCTCACCTAATGTCCACCCTACTATTACTCATTTTATATTAAGACTTAAAAATCTAGTTGTATTGGTATGGCGAGTAACCTTCAGTAATAGTAATAAATCACACAGCAATAGTACATTCATGTAGCTGTAAAAAAGCATGATAATATATGAAGTAATCCAAAGTATTCAGAATACGTTACTCTCATTGAGTAACGTATTCTGAATACATTACAAAATACATTTTGGGGCATGTATTCTGTAATCTGTAGTGGGATACATTTTAAAAGTAACCTTCACAACACTGACTGCAGATGAACAGGTTGGCCAGGTCTGTGAAGCCTTTCGTCCTCATTTCTTATGCATTATGAAACTTTATTATACATGACCAACTACACTCTCTCTTATACACACAAATATACACACACAGATCGGATTAGCGCTCATCTCCAGCTGAGTCCTGCTGTTATATCCTGTGGTGGACATTCGTTTTCTACACCTGGACCCCCGCCCCCAATCATGTTTGTAATCTTCTCCTCTCCTTCCTGTCTGCCCTGCTATCTTTTGCCCAGTCTGTTCTTCTGTTTGAATAGAATAGAATAGAATAGAATAGAATAGAATAGAATAGAATAGAATAGAAAAGCCCTTTATTGTCACTGTACATGGTACAACGAAATTGTAAGTGCTTCAAATCAACTATGCCGGAATAAAATATAAATCGAAGACAGCAGGAATAAACAGCGAATAGGAGAAATATATACAATCAAGAGCAAAATATACAAAAATAAGAAAGACATTGCAGACTGTTAATAATAATAATGGAGTGGATTTATATAGCACTTTTCAAGGTAACCAAAGCGCTTTACAATGCCACTATTCATTCACTCTCGCATTCATACACTGGTGGAGGCAAGCTACGGTTGTAGCCACAGCTGCCCTGGGGCAGACTGACAGAAGCGAGGCTGCCATTTCGCGCCATCGGCCCCTCTGGCCAACACCAGTAGGCAAGTAGGGTAAAGTGTCTTGCCCAAGGACACAACGACCAGGACAGAGAGCCCAGGGATCGAACCGGCGACCCCCTGAGCCACGGTCGCCCACGCAAAAAAACACTGCTGGCTTCCTCCCAGTAGGTGCATCTGTGGTATCAGTTTAAAAATCCTAAAATCTTCAGGAAAGTTGATCTTTGGCCTTCAGGTGACCAGAATTTGACCTCCTCTGAGATTTTTAATAGATGCACCTATGGTACCAATTTCAAAATTATTTTGTCACTTTGTTCTCGAGTCATTGCATTCACAAAATCTTTAGTGTCCTCGCCGCCTGTCCTGCATGATGTCAATAATACCCCCATCAAAATGCTGCATTTCTTAAAATGAGCTCTCAACTAAGATCTTTCAGATGTTAGAAAATAATATGAAAATCTTTTTTTTTAATTGTTTTTGTTAACAAGCTTAGAGGAAGAAGCGCACAAAAGAACAACAGGACATTAACATGCTTTACCCCCTGCAAATTCTTAGATTAATCATAAGCTGGAAAGCTGTTCATTTTCCAGCTTATGATTAATGTCATATTATGGTTCAGGATGACACTGAAGAGACCCTGTCCCTGATCTGTGCACTCAAAGGCTCCGCTTTCTCTATACCTAAATCTGCGAGCACCAAGTTACATCTGGAGCATGATAACTGTGTTATCTGTGTGTATTATGAACTGCCAGTGAACACTTTTTAACTAAAAACTTTTACAAACTTTAGACTTTAGATCAATGAATACCATACAGCTTGTTAGAACAAGAGGTGATTCTAGATCAACTGCAGGTGTGAATGTCTCTGTGTGTCAGCCCTGTGACGGACCGGTTATCTGTCCAGGTGCAACCTGTCTCTCGCATTGTGACAGCAGTGTTTTAACTTGAACTACCACTGGAGCCTCAGGCTGGACTTCAGTGACCTGAATCAACTTCTGTTGTCATTGTCGACATTAGCAACATGCATCCACCAACCACAGCTCATAAGGCATTGACAGGGTGATGAGGTGTGTGAAAGTTGTGCAGTTGCGTTTAGCCAGTGGGTGAGCAGGTGACCACATAGCAAGGAGAGCAGCCGACCAGGCTTGAGTCCAATCCTCTCTGTGTCTCCCCACTTTCCTGCCTATCTCCACTGCCACTATCCAATAAAGGCAAATCTAAAACCCAAAGCTTTAGTGTCGGTGTTTCTTTTCACTTGCATTTGATCTGATGTGTTCCTATGTTTCTTCGGCTTTTTCATACAGGATTGATTGGATTCCTATTCATGTCCAATCTTCAGTCTAAATGAATCCTAATTAAAACTCCAAAATGAGATTTTACTGGGACCCAGTACTGGGTGTCCATGACCTCTACTCTGAGTCCAACAATGACTCCGCCATAAAAACAACATCACACACAGGCAGCCAATCAGAGAGCCACGCGTGGTTTTCCAGTTAGTTAGAGAAGTCTACACCTGTGCTACTTTACTCAGTTACTTGTAGTGCACATACGATTTTCAGCCCAGTGCTGTGCTCTGATTAGTCACCTGCTGACAAATATCTGTGCTCACCTTTGATTGTCCTGTTCCACATCCTCCGGGTCACCTCATCTCCTCTGGGCCTCTGGACTGGTCCCAGTATTGGTCCCAGTCCCGGTCCTTGCAAATTCAGGGTCTCGTTCAGAGCATGAGCGTACAGTATCACCCCGTCGTAGAACCCTCCGGCAATCAGGTTGTACTGAGGGGACAAAGCATGTGATTGTTATAGATGAATATCAGTCTCTCACATATTTGAATAAAAATTTGAAATATCAGATTCAGTTAATCAATAAGGATTGTTATTTGTACCATAGAGTCTCTGATGGTGAAGTTGAACATCGCCTTTGCGTCTTTTTTCAGAGTTTTAACAAACTGAAGATATTCGGGATTCTGGGGCTGCAGATACGTCAGCACTTTCACACTCTGACGAAATCAATAACAAGCTAATCAATTGACCGGATCACTTTACATCAGTGAGCATCCTTTAAAATTTAACAATGAAAGAGCATCTTGTCTCACCCTGAAAGCGTTGCGAGCCGCATAGTCCTCCTGGTCTCCTCTGAACCAGGGCCTGATGGGAGCGCTCCCGTCCAGACCCTCAGCAAAAAGATCAATGAAGAAGAAGACATAGTCCTCCAGCTCCACCCCTTCCTTCCAGAATTGGACCATCAACGTCCTGAAGATGTCCCAGGAGCAGCACATGTACACAACTGAAGACAAAGAAGCAGCAATGTTATTCCATAAAGGAAAGGAACAGAGACAGCTGCCAACGCTTGATGGTAAATCTTTATTACACACTCCATGTGTGCTTCATGGTGTGACCTGCGTGGAAGCCTGGATAACAAAAGCCCCATTCCAGCCCATCAACAAGACTTCTCAATTTCCATGACTAATACTTTTCATCAATGACCATTTTTCTGATGAAAAAAAATAAATGTAATGGCAACCACCAGTGCTACCCCTCAGTCTCATAGTACACACACCTGTGCTGTAAGTTTGATACTCCAGAAGAGTCCTTCTCGAGGGTTGGGAATCAAGAACTGGTTCTTGTAGGAAACTGGTTCCCAGTAGTCCAATTCTTTGGAACTGTTAGTTTGCCTGCCTATCGATCCTACGTATCTGTTCTTGCACTCACACTACAATCAGCTGATTTCAGTTAAGGTGTCAGAGAGGGAAAATAGTGACGTAGTCACATTTATTTTTTTTGCACTAAAGGATGGAATAAATGGTAAAGTATCTGCATGCATGACAGAAACAACCGCATTATGCTGCTAACATAACATTGGTTCTTTGTAAGCATCTGCCCAGACAGCATGCTATTGCTAAGCCCGCCAACAACCCAGGGTGAATGCCAACCCCAGCAGCCAGACCCTTAACTTCAACATGTAAAAAAGAAAAAGATGAGCTGCAGCCTCCCTTTCTACCTGTTCACATTTCATGTTTTTGTGCTGGTTCGGTGTGAGATTGTAGCCTCTCAAGTTTATATTGTTAAATTGTGATTATGAGTGTTTCAGCTATTTTACAGAGTAACATGAAAGTAATGTAACGGGTAGTATAACAAATTACTTTCTCCTGGGAGTAATTAAGTAACATACTGCATTAGTTTTAAGAAAGGTGTTCTGTGTAATATGAGTAATAATGGCCTTTTTAACTCATTCACTGCCAGCCATTGGCAGTGAATGAGTCAATGGGTTTAACTCATTCACTGCGGCAGTGAATGAGTTAAACCCATTGACTCATTCACTGCAATTGATGGCTACAGACATCAAGGGCAGTGAATGAGTTAAGTAACAACACTGCACATATCAAAGAGGGGAAAAACCTCAACAAACATGCACAAACATTTGATCCACAGCATGCTATTAATTTGCATGAGCCTAATTTCTTTATTGCTGGTGGTGACTCTCAAAATGGAGCCAATGAGATAAGATGAGATAAGATGAGAGAAGATGATTGATAAAAGAATCGATAATGGAATCTGAATCGATAAATTCTTATCAATTCCCATCCCAATTCTCGAGTTATCACATTCACAAGATTTTCAGAAAACTTGGCCTCTGACCCTTGACCTTTAGGTTGAGGTCGCTGAGATGTGAACTCATCCGAGATTTAATTCTCAAGGTATCGCATTCACAAACTTAGTCCACACCTCCTGCGCACACTGTGGGGTGATTCTAGAGATGGGAGATCCAATCAGAGCTAATTAAGTTGCGTAGAAAGGCGGGACGAGTTTGAAGGCAATCCAATCAGAAAAAGAATCTCCTTGTACAGTAAGGTTAGGTGCAGTCATTTGATGAAAATCTCAATTCTTGAGAGGAAGAGAAGAGCAGACATATGGACAAATTTCACATATTATATCAATTTGTAAACCATGTGGAGCAACTCTCACTGCTAAAAACAACTCCTCAAACTTTAGATTTTAGTCACTGAATCAGCTTTAGATATAGTCTGCTATAATCTTATGATATATAGTCAACCAGAATTACCTTAAATCTAAGAAAAAACTGAGATGCCTAAATTAAGACTAAAATTAAATTGAAGTTTGGAGCCAAAGTCCAAGACTACAGCACCTGTCATGTCTCAAATCCTGCTGCTCATGTGCGAAATCTGACCTGTGGTGACTGATTTAAGCATGCAGATGTTAGGGACAGCCCAGAGCTGGTAACGTTCTCCTCTTCTTAGCAGACCCACATGTGTCCTTTCATGGGACAGATTTGGGCAGGAATAGAAATAAAGACAGATTCAATAAACTCTTCAAAGTTCATTTTCCTCAGAAAGGCTTTGCGCAACCTTTTTGTTGCAAACGTCTCAAAAAACCTAATTTGTTATAAAAAAAAATTTAATAAAATGAAAAAATAACACCCACACAACTTTCTGTAGCTCTTTCACCTTTCATAACCAGTCTTGGATTCATCTTCTAAAATCTGAAATCACATCTCATCATACCAAAGCAGCAGTCCATGACCCAGGCAGCACCTTTGAGAAGCAGAAAGGACAGAGCAAGCACCTCTCTGAAGTCAAAAAACTGAGATGTGTAAACATTACCCCATTATTTTGGGGTAATATTATTTGGGTGCGTGGCCTCTTTGACTGACAGGTGGATAGTGACACAGGCAGCTGTAGCTGCTAGCTGTCTGTTAGGATTCACCAGAACTGGACCTCTGGGCCATTTTTGTGCTTAAGAGACATTTTAACTTTCAACTTACTTTAACTTTAACTTACTTACTAACTTAGTTAATTTTGTATTTGCTGTTTGGTCAAGTGTGTAAGACGGATAAACACTGGAACAGCCTGTAAACACGTAGAAAAAAGAAGCCAGTTTCCTTTTGTTTCCCTCCCCACCATTGTTGGGTTTGAATCGCTACATTTGGGCGCACACTGAGGAGGGTTCATTTGCTCGCAGCTGGAAGACGCTGCCGTTAAAACAGCCCTATTATTTTTTCCGTTGGCTGCTTCTTTTAGCTTCAACCAACATTAGTAGCTAACTTACTCATGGGCAAATAAATCAATAAATAAATAGCTCTAGTAAAAACGATCAGTGAAAAACTCAGCCTATTGTTGATGGTCGATATTCGTCCAATCGCCCAACCTTACCATCCATCCATACATTTTCTTCCGCAATTGCGCAGTGACAGGGCTAACACACAGACAGTCAATCATTCACACTCACATTCACACCTATGTGCAATTTAGAATCACCAATTAACCTGACCTCACTGAATCCCACTGAACTGAAAGTTTTTTTAATGAAAAAATATTGTGATGTCAATTCTTTATAGCCCATACCACATTTAAATAACAGAAGCTGACCCAAAGTCCTTTAAAGACAGGCATATTTACATTCCAGGTCTCTAAAAAAATCCCAAATCAACATATAAAAAACTGTGTTAACTAATTATTGTGGATAGCTAAAATCATGGTGTTCATTAAAACGTGTTCAGAATTTGGCAAATGTACAATGATTCAGTTCATAAATGACTATCAGCTAGCACTGGCTGATAACTTAGCATGCCACTCTCTCCTGGTCATTTCCTGAAATAATAAACCAACATGGATGGTGCTTAGTGAAATCTTGGTTGGCTATCCGTCGTTTATATACTTCTTTCTCACCACTCCCACACTGTTGTGGGGTATTGTTGGGGTTCCTGATAAAAAACTGATGAGAACTTCATGGTCTGAATTTATTTTTTTCTCCAGAGAAATCAAGAATAAATGTGGGATGAGAAAAACAAAAACACCCCCCATCCCCCACCTTGCTATAACAGAGCCTGAAAATAATCAACTGTCAGAGAAAAAAGACAAATACCACCACCACCCAACCCCCTTCTGTCCACACAGTCCCCAAGGTGGACAAAAAAATGTGAATGCTGAGAATTTCACATGCGAAAGGCAGAAAGTCACATGTTGGTTTGTCTGCAGCCAAAAGTGCTTTTAATGGAAGCAGAAAAGAAAACAGGACTGACTGATTAATGCTGACACACACACACACACACACACACACACACTGAGGACTTACTTTATCCAGTGTTCATCTTAAAGTGTGATTTATCCTGTGAGCATTATGTCCATGTGACCATGGAAATAGATTCAAGCCCCAACTAAATGATACCTGATGATACCCTAGTAACAATGTTACTAACAGTTCTAATAACACAAGATATTTTTAGAGGCAGCAGCAGCACAAGATGGTGTGTTTCTGTGTGTACACACCTGTGTGTATGAGCACGCTTGTGTTCATAATGTTTCTCCATGTAGTGTACAATGGTGGGTGTGGGTTCAGAGGTAATTACTAGGACGTCCATGTTGCTGGGTGCAGCAGCTGGTGTTGGTTAAAGGACGATAGTGTGTCTGTGATGATGTCATCATGCCACACAGCTCTGATCTCGTGATCTAATTCACACTGTGACATCAGCGGGCGATGCAGGTCACTGCAAACATTTTCACGCAATCAGAGCAGCGTTTCAGTGATGCTTACAATAAAAACGTGCTGACGGCGAGGAGCAGAAACACAGCAAACAGGCTCACTTCTGCTTCTTCTTCTGTACTAAATTACAGACTGATTGTTTACATGTGTGTTCAGCAAACACACACACAGACACACATTTGTTTTCTGTACTTGTAGACCCTCACTCACATCATTACCCACAAACTGAACCTGATATCATGCAAAGCATTTCCAGCTCCAGCTGTGTTTCAGTCACCTTCAGCAGCCAGTGCTGCCCAAACACCATGAACACGCTTGTCATTGATTGAAGACTAAGCTAAATGACTGACACTTCCAGTCTGACCACCGCTGACTGCAAATCAAAGTCCAAAGCAGCGATCTGCATGTATCGCTCATGAACTAATTTCCATTAATAAGTTAGAGACTGAAAATATAATTTTCCTCTAAAATGATGTTTGAAATGTCACGCAAAGGTCCCCACAGGACTGTCCCCACTCCAAGGTCTTAAAATGAAATTACTCCTCACAAACATGTAGGAGCACCCAAACACACAGAGGTGAAGTCAGTCATTAACCAGTGAGGATAAAAATCTCAGAATAATTAACCATCATTTAACAAGGAGAACAACAATAAGGCAGGGAGGAAAGGAAAGGAGGAAGGAGGAGTGTCATGAAGGAAAAACAATCAGTGACACGAGAGCAAATGAAGCATCTGACCACAGCTTTTCATCTGATGAAAGAATGAAAGAACAAAGAATGAAAAGAAAAAAACTCAGTCAAGGAAGGAAGCAAAAAGGAAAACCGGAAAATAAAAGAACAAAATGAATGAAGAAAATAATGCTAAATCAGTTGAAGTGTCTGAAGAAGAAATGAAAAAGAAGCAAGGCTGGAGGAGTTGAAACTAGGCATCAAAAGCAGCTGAAAAGCCATCTTTCGCAAGATCATGGATCACCTCAGCTAAAAGGAATGGCATGAAGAAGAGAACGTAAAAGAATAAGTAACCTTGAGATGTCTGCTTCTAAAGAGTGAGCAGAAACAGCGTAGCTTTTAAGCAGTTAATTTTAGAGAAAAGGACGAACAGAAAGCAGTGGGATGAGGACAACAACAACTGTTAAAACATGAGGAATGAAAGCAGCAGAAGAAGAATATGACCTCGGCCATTGTCACGGATATCCTGGACCATCGACTTGTAGTTGACGTCGCCCTGGATGACGTGGTCGTGGACAGTGATGTTACGTTTGCCCAGCAGCTCATACAGCCCCTCCACAGCGAAGTAGCACAGCGGATCATCATTGGAGTCCCTGTTGTCACTGAAGATGACCGTGGCGTGCCGCTGCCAGCCAAACATCTCCTGGATCCTGACACCAAACTCACCCAGCTTTTTGTGAGTGGGGCCCGTGTTGGTGACCGCAGCGTACAGATTGAAGCCGATTGCTCGGGCACCAGCTGTCACCATGGGAACATCCCAGTGGGTGGTAAAGCGGGCAACAGGTGAGGATGAGTAGTCGCAGCCGGGTCCAATGAAGGCCCAGGGGTCGTGGGACAGCTTGAGGTCGACGGCTACAAGCGGCGCTATGGAGTCTGAGCAAAAGCCGTCGCGGCTCTCTGAGCTGCCATAAACTAGCCGCAGCTTCAGACCTGGTAGCAACCAGGGGTCAGAGTTCACCTGCTGTAATGCCTGGTAGATGGCGGGCGCAACCCGAGGCCATGCCCATGCATAGTTAGTGTTAGTCAGAGGCAAGATGGCTGCCAGGGTGACCTCCTGAAGATCCTCCGTTCTGTTGTCAGCAGTTAGAGAGGTTGCAGCTGATTGGGCAGGAAGCAGGACCAGGAAGAGCAAGGGACAGGCCCAGGGCAGCATGATGAAGAGGCGTTAATAGCCTGTCAGACGAGCTGTGGGGAAAATATAACACAGTGTTAATCAGCGTGTCCTGTAGAGAAAACTCAAAACAAACCTTTATTCATCAGAACAGCTACTGAAACTTGAAGCTGCTGGGAATTCTGGAAAGTCTGTGCGAGTTTCCGTGTGGGATCATTGAGTGGGATCTATCCATCCTTCACGTGGCCATGTGTTTGCAGACATGAAGCTGAAGTCCTCCACTGGGCCGGTCCAAGATAATTGCTTGTTAAACAGCAGCCTGACCATGTTTACCGTTTGATTAATGAGTAATGTGAGTGACAATTAGATCTAATCTGCTGCTGTGAGAGTCAGTGAAGCAGTCACACTCTTACAGTCCATCTGTTCCTGGTAACACAGAGCCGTAAAACCGAACAGAGGTGAATGATAAGAGTAAGGTGTGAGGGAAAGGCCAACTAAAGAGTGAAGAGAGAACACATCAGAGTTCAGGGTCCTGTGAATAAAATGAGTTGTTGTCTTTAAAAGCTAAACGAACGCATGGGAGAAGTCTGACTGCATGTTAGGGTTAGGGTTTCATCAAACTCCAAATCCTCCCCGGCTTCCTAGTCCCTTTTGATCAGAGCTGCAGAGCTATGTGACTCCTTTCAACAGACCACGGAGTTAATCTGAACATCTTCATCAGCTTCTTCCTCACATTTTTCTGCTCTACCTGGGTTTCCTTTGTCATCTTTCTCTGTACCTCATTTATACAGTCCTGTGATAGGGTAACACCTGCGTGAGGAAGCAGATGTGCACGGTTTATCCATTAGATTCCATAATAAAAGCCTCACTGACATATGGACATACAGTTTCTGTACTGCAAAGCTAACAGGGCTTTTAATTTGAAATAAATGCAGAAAATGTTGAGTTGAGTCACTTTAACAAGGTAGGAGAGAATTAAAAATACTAAAACAGGTCTAATTCATCCCATAAAATACAAGGAATGAGGTAAGCAGAGGTCAAAGACAACACAATGTTAATGGTGTCAGCGTTAGTTCGTCAGCTGTTCCAAACAACGAGAGGATCCTTTTCTCGTCTTCTCATCTTTAACAGTTAGCGAACAAAGAAGAGAGAAACAAAACTGAGGTCACGGTGAAGTTTGAAGCCAGGTGGTGTGGCTCCATGACTGGAATCAGTCCACTCGCATTATAGCAACTTGACAGCTCGGATCATTTCATTTGACTTAATTGGCTCTCTTTCATCAAATGCACTCCAGGGATGACTGAATTTCAAGGAGAATGAATAAATAAGCTCCAAAATATGTACCTGATGTTTTATTCAGTAAGAATTGAAACCAGGTCTGCCAGTCCAGGGTGAAAGAAAATGGATGGATTTAAAACTAGGGACTGAGATCATGAACTCATCAGGAAAGTGTGTACTGAGCTCGGCGATCAAGTGAGGAGTGGGCTCATTTTCCCCTAGACTTCTGTATAATCAGACCAAAGCAGTTGCACCCTGCTGGACATTAGAGTGCTTCTGCATTGGCGTCAAGCTTCAGATGCAGTACCAGTATCTGCACCAGGGATGTCAAACCCTTCATTCCTGAGCCACTTACCATTCAAATTCATCAGCTGTGCTGGTTGAGTAAAACCACTCCCTAATAACTCTTGATGCATGCTCAATCATCTGGACTTAGTTTTATTAGTGGGAGAAACGTTTCATCACTCATCCAAGTGACTTCTTCAGTCTCAGCTGTAGGTTTCCCCAATCTTTTAAACAGTACATTTGCATAATGACTCAAACTAACTCCACTGGTGAACAATGGGCTGTAAGGTCAGTTTCTTGACGAGCTGAACAAGAGTGACAAAATGTTTCTCCCACTGGAAATGCTACGGCCAGATCAACAGAATTGGGCTCTCCCTAATAACTTTGAAATCTCCTTTATTTCATTTTCTTTAAGTAAAGGGTTATGGTTGTTATGGTGATGTTAATTTGTCTATGATTCCACACATTTAGAGTACAGATGATCTGGTCTCTTCGGCTTTCAGCCTACATGACTCACACCTGTTGTTGAGCTGTTGACCAAAATGTAGGTCCCACTTTAAACTCAAGAATCCATCAAAACGCCCTCACATCCCAGTTTTGAAATGCAGCGTGTGTTTCTGGGTCTGTCCAAATGGTGGGAGGTAGCACAAAGCAATATGATGTGTGGTGTTAAAATGCGTGCATAGCTTCTCTGTATGTGGAAACACAAAATCAGACTTTAATCACCACATTTCTCCATACATATGAGTGCATGAATAAATCTCTGACAGCAGGCTGCTGTGAAAAAAGGCAGCAGGAAATCTGACAGGAAGAAGAAGTATAGGCCAGCTTCAGTCAGGCTGAAGTGTCTTTAACACATCAGGATTTTTGATGCTGATTAAAACTTTACTGTCCAGAGATGGAGGTAAAACACACTCAGCCACCCGGTCTGTGTGTGTGTGCCATTGTTGTGAACCGTCTTCAGTCTTATATAAGTGTTGTTGCAACATCAGTGAGACTCAAACACATCACTCACGGAACAAAGAGCTGTCAGCACTCAGGTCTGTTTCTAAACTTTCAGCTTCTTTAGGATCAGGATGTGTGCACACATCAAACCTCATACAAAAAAAATACACTTTCTCACTTTCATTCTGAGGTGACTGTCCATCTGACCATTGAGTGTCTGTGTGTCCGTCTGTGTGCTTCACATATCATTTTTATTATTATTAATAATACTATTGTTATGTAAAACAGTCAATGACATCGTGGATGTCAAATGCATCATTCTCGCGATCGATTATGAATATTTTGTCCCCTCATGCCCATCCAGTCTCTCAGATGATCGCCCTTCCCTCAGCCTGGTTCTACCGGAGGTTTCTTTCTGTTCAAAGGGAGTTTTTCCTTTCCAGTGTCGCCAAGTGCTTAATGGTTGCTTTCACTGTTTTATTGCTGTTGTGATTTGGCGATGTATAAATCAAGTTGAACTGAATGTATTCTTAATGGTGGGCTGTTTTGTCTGAAGGCAGATAGACTTCGGTTAAAATGAAGAAGGAAAATCAGAGTCTTCGTTCATTTGAAAGCGTAACCAGGACAGAGACTAAGAAAACAACTAAAAATAACTTTCTGCTCGATTAACTGCTTATTAACTCGCGGCGCCTTTCTCCTGTGTAAGTTCATCAATAGAGGAGCGGCTGACGTTGTTTTACCTGTTCGGCGCTCAGCGCAGCTCCGTGTGTCCGCAGGACGACATCCAGCTGTTTTCAGCGGCAGCTCGTGCGGAGGAGGAAGCCTCGTGAACACTCGGTGGGAACTCTGTCTCACCGGAGGCTCACCGGAGGCTCGCGCCCCGCTGCTGCCGGCGCGTTTCCGCTTCTCCGCGCTCACACACCATCCCGGTGATAATCCAGCCTCCCGCCGTGCGCGCACACTGAGGGGGTGTGGAGGGTAAGAGGGCAGTCCTGAAAACGCGAACTGAAGCGCGTGCTTGAACCTACGTGTATTCAGTTACCAAAGTGACACAGGCTATATATGTGTGCTCGCAGTACTCCCTCCTCGCCGTGCTCTGCGCATAGGTAGGCCTGATAGGCTGAAATATTACTTTTAATCAAAAACTTTATATAAATAAGCTGCTCTGCGACGTGAGCATGTGGATATGGAGCCCCCTGGTGGCTGCCTGCAGCTATGACAAAACGTCCGTAAGTTGGTTTTATTGATTGGATACCGGCACTAGTCAGTTGATTAGTTAGATTGAACCCCAAGTAAAATGACTGAGGTTGAGGGTGATTATGGATTATAGACAGATGATTGTAAAAGTAAAAGTTCAACTGTCATAGAATTATCTAACATCAGTTAAGTTAAATGATTGATCAGTTTCTCATCAAACTTCCAGCATCTCTGAACTCACTGCTAACCTTTGACCTCTTTGCAAGGAGAGATTTTAGATTAAAGTTCATTAACAGCCACACATGACGTCACACTACAAGTCTGTTATTGTCCATAAAGTTCACGCACAACACATATATAGAGAACCAAAGAATGTGTGTGTGTGTGTGTGTGTGTGTGTGTGTGTGTGTGTGTGTGTGTGTGTGTGTGTGTGTGTGTGTGTGTGTGTGTGTGTGTGTGTGTGTGTGTTTTAACAGGATACACCCGGTATACCAGGAAGTCACTTGGAAACACACAAACTCTCCCTCTCTGTACCTCTTCCTGGAAATGATCACCACCCACCCTCATACTCAGACTCTCTTGCTCTCTTTCTCACATGTGTCCTGCCTTCCTCCCACTCTCTCCTGTTAATGAAAACACACATTAATGTTTCTCTTATTTGACTGTAAAGGTCACACTTGAACACAGCAAGTCGACTCTAAAGGAAGTCAGTAAATACAGTTAAGGTGAGCTGTTTCCTCCTTTTATTCTTCTGATTCTGTTAGAGAAGCTTTGCATGATTCCGTATTCAGAATAATCCTTCTGTGTCTGATTCTGGGTTATAGTGCGGCCTCTTCCTCTCTTTTGATTGGTTGTTCTCTGCCAACAGAACCTTGTAAGTATTATATTGTGCTGTGTCTACTGGAGAAAAAAAGACAACATGAAGCTACTGAAAACATGATTTGTGGTTGTTGGTTTGGACTGAACTGGTACAGCTGAAGGCTCAGCTTCATACTGGGATCTTGTGATTCCTGTATGAAGTGAACGCTGATCTGAAAATAGAAACTTTATCTTTTTTTTTCTTCCTTCATACATGTAAACAAACTATGATTAGATGACTGTGAGGATATCCTCTCTGTGTGATATCATACAGCCAGGGTCGCCAGAAGAGGATTGGGGGGAGGGGGGGGGGGGGGGCACTGGTACACCCCTAGCAAGGCTGTTATTAGTTGGTATTATTTTAATAAACATGAGGTTAGAGAGAGAGGCAAGACACCCTACAGTGAGTTGAAACATTAACCATTATTTATTCCTGCATATACTATTTTGCCATTCGTATTGTGTCACTTTTACAGGGAGTGCAGAATTATTAGGCAAGTTGTATTTTTGAGGAATAATTTTATTATTGAACAACAACCATGTTCTCAATGAACCCAAAAAACTCATTAATATCAAAGCTGAATGTTTTTGGAAGTAGTTTTTAGTTTGTTTTTAGTTTTAGCTATTTTAGGGGGATATCTGTGTGTGCAGGTGACTATTACTGTGCAGAATTATTAGGCAACTTAACAAAAAACAAATATATACCCATTTCAATTATTTATTTTTACCAGTGACACCAATATAACATCTCCACATTCACAAATATACATTTCTGACATTCAAAAACAAAACAAAAACAAATCAGCGACCAATATAGCCACCTTTCTTTGCAAGGACACTCAAAAGCCTGCCATCCATGGATTCTGTCAGTGTTTTGATCTGTTCACCATCAACATTGCGTGCAGCAGCAACCACAGCCTCCCAGACACTGTTCAGAGAGGTGTACTGTTTTCCCTCCTTGTAAATCTCACATTTGATGATGGACCACAGGTTCTCAATGGGGTTCAGATCAGGTGAACAAGGGGCCATGTCATTAGTTTTTCTTCTTTTATACCCTTTCTTGCCAGCCACGCTGTGGAGTACTTGGACGCGTGTGATGGAGCATTGTCCTGCATGAAAATCATGTTTTTCTTGAAGGATGCAGACTTCTTCCTGTACCACTGCTTGAAGAAGGTGTCTTCCAGAAACTGGCAGTAGGACTGGGAGTTGAGCTTGACTCCATCCTCAACCCGAAAAGGCCCCACAAGCTCATCTTTGATGATACCAGCCCAAACCAGTACTCCACCTCCACCTTGCTGGCGTCTGAGTCGGACTGGAGCTCTCTGCCCTTTACCAATCCAGCCACGGGCCCATCCATCTGGCCCATCAAGACTCACTCTCATTTCATCAGTCCATAAAACCTTAGAAAAACCAGTCTTGAGATATTTCTTGGCCCAGTCTTGACGTTTCAGCTTGTGTGTCTTGTTCAGTGGTGGTCGTCTTTCAGCCTTTCTTACCTTGGCCATGTCTCTGAGTATTGCACACCTTGTGCTTTTGGGCACTCCAGTGATGTTGCAGCTCTGAAATATGGCCAAACTGGTGGCAAGTGGCATCTTGGCAGCTGCACGCTTGACTTTTCTCAGTTCATGGGCAGTTATTTTGCGCCTTGGTTTTTCCACACGCTTCTTGCGACCCTGTTGACTATTTTGAATGAAACGCTTGATTGTTCGATGATCACGCTTCAGAAGCTTTGCAATTTTGAGACTGCTGCATCCCTCTGCAAGATATCTCACTATTTTTGACTTTTCTGAGCCTGTCAAGTCCTTCTTTTGACCCATTTTGCCAAAGGAAAGGACGTTGCCTAATAATTATGCACACCTGATATAGGGTGTTGATGTCATTAGACCACACCCCTTCTCATTACAGAGATGCACATCACCTAATATGCTTAATTGGTAGTAGGCTTTCGAGCCTATACAGCTTGGAGTAAGACAACATGCATGAAGAGGATGATGTGGACAAAATACTCATTTGCCTAATAATTCTGCACTCCCTGTATGACCCTCACGATTTCCTGCTACACCCCTGTGCTGTTTTGAATTGGTGTGCTACCCCAATATTTTTAGTGGTCGCCATATGGCCATCCATTGAAAAAATTCAGGAGGTGGCCCTGCACAGAGCTTGCTGAATGTAAGATGCTGGCAGTGGTTGGAGGAGCATGAAGTAGAAACATGTTTAATATGAACATCCAAACTTGGAACAGGACACAGCAGACAGCAAGTCGAGAGGAGCACTCAATCACCGTTAACGGTTCTTTAGTGTCATAAACGAGTCAGAGTGGCTGGTAAAACTTGAGGGTAAATTTGATATGAGCAGCCATGTCTTGTGAAGCCATCTGCGGGAGGATCCAGTCGGCACACAAAGTTGTGCCAAGGCTCAGGTCTGACTCTGCTGTGAGGATGAACGAGGAGATCTGAAAACCAAACTGAGCATAAACAGATGAATGAATTCGAACAACTAACTTTTTCCAGGCTAAATGAAGATCTTCTAAATTAGTGACACACCATTTCCTCTCCAGCTTATGGGCTATCTGATTTGTTCAGCAGGTGATGGTTTTGTACCTCTGCAGACTATTTTATCATTTGTTTATTTTTAAGGGATTAGTGTTTTTTTTAAACCCTGTAAATAGTGCCTGAAATAAAAGCCATTATTATTTATAGAAATTGTGGAAATTCTTTGTCTGCTGAGATATAATCACACAGAATTAATCTCACAGGGAACACTTGTCACAGGAAACTGATTACACCTCCACAACAACAAATCCCACAAAGCGGGAACAGTGTGACGTCTGGACGTTCGCATGCTGTGTGCAGTCTTTTCACCGCTTCTGTGCAAAACCAATCCTAAGCACATCAAGCACTCAAACGATAGCAGAAAATGCAAAAGGAACTAAAGCAAAAACTGCTTTAAAAGGTGAGACACTACAAAGAAAAATATGAGTGGCATCTGAAGAGCTTCTGTGACAGCCAGAGGAGTCCACATCTTTTTCACACAGAGCTGCTACCAGCCCAATGTTGTTTGTTAATGAAGTTTTTCAGCTGAAAGGTTTTGTGGAATCTTTTGTTCGTGGAGTCCAGAAAAAATGAAGTCAGATGCTGACCGTGGCTTGGAGCCGAAGAAGGACACAGTTGAGTTATATAACGGCACAAAGCTTCTGGAATTATTGAAGAAGAGGCAGTTTGTGACTGAACGGTGTGGAAAAGAGGATTTTTGCAGCCTTATGTCATATGGATTTGTAAGTTTTACTTTCCGGATGAAAATATTTGTAATTCACAATCGCGTGATCTAAAGTCTGTGGTACACAATTTACTGCGAACTGCATGAAATCTAACGCAGAAAAAAACTTCTTCTGCCTGTTGTGGTTGTGATAGCTGCTACTAGGAAGGTTTATGAGGGGGACATGTCTTGAGAACAAGTGCGTAATTGGCTCAAAGCTGTGAGCTCGTTACCAAAACTGTCACAAACGTCTTCACTCAGTTTTCATGCTGTGTTAGAGGCATGCTGCTCCCCAGTAATACTGTATTTTACTGAAACAGTGCAGAAATGAACTGAACTCTGAGGGGCACTTTTCCCTACTGAATCTGTAACAGATAAATGGAGAAAATCCATCTTTTAATGAATGAATGAATGTCAATGTGTTAGATTATTGTCTGAATGTTGCAGTGTGCTATAAAAAAACTAAAAACGTGGTGTGGCAAAGTAACATTAACTGTGACAGCTTGTGATCTGACAGTAAATGTTTTTTTATACATTGTGGAGGCCAGCTGTTCACACAGATTTCAGGTTTATGGTGAAACAGTTTACAACATTTAATTTTTTTTTAACAACTAATATAGAGACTAGTGTTCTGCTCTTGGTAGATTGCAGTTATTACTGAAGGGAAGTGGCTCTGTCTTTGTAAATAAATTACAGCACATTATAAGTACATCATGCTGTGACTGAACACATCACAGTAATTTGTCTCACTTAGTTATTCTGTCTGTTAGCCTATAAAATTTAATCCATCTTATTTTCTTATATTCACCTGCTGTGTTCTGCTCTGCTTAGAATTCCTATGACTGCAGTAAAATTGCATCACCTATCTCAGCTCCTCCCTCTTCACAAAGGATGCTCCAGTGTGGCCTTTGCTAAAGGAAACAATAAAGGAACTCCTTTCCTTAGTGTTTGGAAACTGGAACTGCTCTGATTATGGCTCCCACACAGATACACAGACAGGGTCATGTCTCTCAGTGAGGAAACTTCATCAGAAACATGGACTACTCAAACGCACTTTCACACAATGAACAGTAGCAGCCAGACTGGAGTCCACAGCTATATAAGAGCAGAAAGCTCTAAAGGTGAGCAGAAGCAAAGAAATGTAAGTACGCCCTGAGACAAGAGCAGACTCCTTCACTGGCTGCTGGCAGGGACGAGACAACTCATCAGCTCAGGTTAGAGCTGCAAAGCTGCAGATCTCCTCTCAGACTGAAATGAAGATCCTCATTCTGAAGGTCACCACCAGGTTTCTCATTGCTGATGTTCTACAGATACTATGATCAGACCGAAGGCAGGGTATCTGATATGGGTCCGTGTTTCTACAGTCATTGGTCCGTACCTGTGTTTCTCTGAGCTAAACTCAAATCACCAGCAGATTCTGGTCCAAGTCCCTGAGGAGCTCTGGAGACCCAGGATGAACCTGATATTTAGTGATGGTGGCAGTCATCCCCAAAAAACAGTAACTCCAGTGCAGTAAAAGTCGAGGTCAGAGGTACTTTTACAGCAGTAACTGAGTGAGTATTAACAGAAAAGCACTGGACAAGTTTTAATGATGTTGTTTTACTTCCTTTTGTTGGTCTTCAAATTTCCAATTTAAAAAAAAAAACAGACATGAGAAAGTGTTTCTGGTTTACTCGTGTTTGCAGTTTTTAACGGACAGCAAAACCATTTGTCATGTACACACTCATTCTGCTGCTCTTCTCTGAGGTCACTACATTACATCAATCAAAGTAGTCAGACTGAGCCATGAAACCAACAAAACATGGCAGCAGTTTGATATAAAGGTTTTAAATTCACCCCACTGCTACAATAATGAACAGCACTGGCTACTGTTAATGTAATAACTGAAGAACTTTGTACTCAGTAGCTTCAATAGGAGGAAAACTGGAAAATGAAATTAAAAAATATAATTTTGTTTTACGAACTAAATTTTTATTTTTCATTTAAATTGTGCACCTTTAAATTTCTGTAGTTTTTAATTTTCTTATGAGAACATTTTATCAAACCAAATTATTTATTTCTGAATGTTTAAATGTTTTGGGAAGAGTAAAATGCTGGAAAAAATCAGAAATGTGTCCTGTGGTCTCAAACATGTTTTGAGCTCATTAGCTAAAAACTCTTAATGAAAGTAGTTGACTCATTCACCCCAGGATTATTTTAGCACATTACCAGGAACTCAGGACTCAGTGGAACTTAGAATAAACAATCCTGGGTTAAAGAACTGGATCCTTTCAGGGCCCTCTGTTTTCGAAGCCCTGCAGGAGCTTTTTTTTTTTATTGCAAACACCAAAAAACATACATATTCAGGAAGATTTTATTTGGTCTTGTGAAAATATTTTCTGTCTCCGATCAGTTAGTAAAACCAGTACAAACTGGTCTGGACTGGTCTCTACAGCTGCAGCAGCTGTGGCTGCAAAGTGTCCTGCTCCGTGATTGGGTCGTCACTGGCGTCTGCGTGGACCTTCATGTGCACGTCCCGGGAGCGCTTTTCCTGGTAGCTCTTGCCGCAGAGCCGGCAGCTGTATGGCTTCTCCCCACTGTGCGTCAGCAGGTGCTTTTTCAGGTCATTCTTGGTGACGAAGGCCTTCCAGCACAGGTGGCAGCTAAACGCGCGTTCCTTCCTGTGGAAGCGGAGGTGTGTCTCCAGGTAACCTTTGGTGCTGAAGCTCTTAGTGCACAGGCTGCAGCTGAATGGCTTCTCACCTGTGTGTGTCAGCTTGTGGGCATTCAGCCCTCCCACCTGCCTGAAGGCTTTCCCGCAGATGCAGCACTGGAAGGGTTTCTCGCCTGTGTGGATCCTCCTGTGAACCTCAAGGACGTGGATGGAGGCGAGGCTCTTCCCGCATGTCTCGCAAGAGATGCGGTTGGATGGTTTGTCTCTGGTGTGGTTCCTGATGTGCAAGGTGAGAGCGCCGTTATCAATGAACGTCTTGCCACAGAACTCGCAGATATATGGTCGCTCCCCACTGTGGATTCTCTTGTGGCGCCGCAGAGCACCAGACCGCGGAAAGGACTTCCCACAGACACTGCAGTGGTACGGTTTGATGCCGGTGTGACTCCTCATGTGAGTCTCAATGTTCTGATAGGTTTTCCCGCATACGTGACAGATTTTGCCGGCGTCTCTGTGACTCTGCAGGTGCTCTGTGAGCGTTTTTGATGGTGGCATACTTTCACCGCAGACCCCACAGACAGACTCTGCCGAGTGATTTTTGGCATGTTTTCTCAAACTTACTTTACTGTGAAAAGACTCACCGCAAACTTTACAGCGTGGCGGCATTCTGGCATTCTCTATGTCAGATGTCCTGGTCTGAGAGTGCGCCGGTGACTCGCCATCTTGACCCTCTAATGAGTGACTCTTTCTGTGAGTTTTCAAAGCGCTGCTCTCTATGAAGGTCTTGCCACAGCGGTTGCAATCATGCGGGCGCTCACCACTGTGGATCTTATTGTGGCGCCTAAGCGCACCTGGCCGGGGAAAGTGTTTGCCACAGACCAAGCAGTGGTACGGTTTGAGGCCCGTGTGGCTCCTCATGTGCGTCTCCATGTTCTGGAAAGTCTTTCCGCAGACACCACAGGTCCCACCAGTCTCTCTGTGTGACTGCAAATGTGTTAGAAGAACATCTGGCGAGTCGAGCTGCTGTCCGCAGATGCCACACATGCTCTTTGACTCCCTGCAGTGCATTTGGGCATGTTTCCTAAGGAAGCCTTGACTGTGGAACGAATCACCACAGACTCTGCAGTAGAGCACTGCCGACTTCAGATCTGGCATTGGTCCCTCCCGCTTTGGCTTCAGTGAGTCCGGCTGACTGTCCTCACTCCCGCTGTCTTTCTCATTTTGGTCTCCACCGTGCTCGTGGATCTTCAGGTGCTCTTGGAGAAGTTCACTCTGAGCAAAGCTGAGTCCACAGACGGGGCAAGGGTCAGTGCTCCTTCTGCTGTGAATCTTTTTGTGGCGCCTCAATGCTCCGGATCGGGGAAAGCTCTTCTGGCAGAGCACGCAGCTGAAAGGTTTAACTCCAGTGTGGCTTCTCATGTGTGTCTCCATGTTCTGAAACATTTTCCCGCAGACCCCGCAGGTCCCGCCTCCACCACTCACGGTTTCCATGTGAGATCTCAGATGGTCTGACAAACTGTCTGATGACTCAAAGCGCTGCTTGCAGACCCCGCAGAGATGCTCGGGGGAGTCTGAGTGCAATTTCACATGTTTCAACAGATTCCCTCGATGGCGGAAAATCTTTCCACAGAGGACACAAGGCTGATTTGTCGGGCGCGCCAACAATGCTGTCCGCTGTCTCTGCCCACTGGACTTGCTTTCTGTGGTTCTCCTATCTGTCCCTTTAATGCAGAGTGACTTTTGGCTGCCTCTCCAGTGGTCATCACTTTTAGCTGCACAGGTGATGTCTGAGGAGGCAGGGCTGGGCAGAGGTGAAGGCATGTGGATGGAGTTTGCCTGTGGGCAGAGACTTTCATTAGCAGCGACCTTACAAAGAGCAGATGTGTCTGAAAGAAAAAAAATAAAGAAAAAAACGTCAACAGTTCATAAAAGCAATTGCGGCATGAAAGACACAGAAAGTAACAGTGAAACAACATGAAATACAGATGTTCAGTGTTTCCACTAGCACCTGAAAGCAGCACACATCTGTAGCTCCATTCATAATTTATTTATATAGCACTTTAAAAACAACACATGGCCGATCAAAGGGCTGCACAGCAGAAATATTTTTAGATTTTTATTTTTAGATGCATTTTTTGGAGCCATCCATGACTTCAAATCACTAAGACAAACAAGCAGGAGTCCAATTGAGGAGATATCAGAGTGATTGAAAGGTAGATAAAGCTGGCAAACGTCAGCATATAGATGAAATTAAATATCGTGTTTTCTGAAAAATCGTACCCAGTGGCAGGAGAAACAATGAAAACAGTACTGGCCCAAGATTAGAGCCCTGCGATACCCCCCATTGTAAAGGGGCCACAGATGATGAAGCAGAACCCAACTCAAAACAAAAGTTCCTGTTAGAAAGATATGATTTTATCCACAAAAGTGCCAAGCCGGAAATTCCCACACAGTGTTGTAGTCCAGAGAATAAGGTTGGGCGATATGTAAAAATTTTCCAACCGACAATCGTCAGTCCAATAACCGATGATAGAGATTCATGGATGCACAGACTTTTCGATGGGCAGAGTGATGTAACAATGCACGGACTGATTTGCCCGTTTAGAACACAGAAGTCGTCCAAACATGGACGAACTAATTGCCAACTTGCACACTGCAGGAGAAGGCGCAGATAGAAATGGACTGTTACCTCACCGAGGAGGTCGTAGACAGAGAAGACGATCCACTGGTTTGGTGGAAAATTCATAAAAAACATTTCCTATTGATGTCACACATGGCACGGAAATATCTGCGTATACCAGCCACAAGCACACCTTCAGAACGCATCTTCAACACTGCTGGTAATATTGTTAACCACCTGCGCACACTACTAAAACCGGATAAAGTAAAAATGCTTGTTTTCCTGTCAAAGAATTTATAAGTTTTGTTTGGAGGGAATATTTTACCTTCTTTTCTTCTTTGTTTCAGCATTAATATAGCTACTTTTTTGGATTATTCATTCATTTATTTATTTATTTGAGATGCGCCGAATCGCACAAAAGACTAAACTTTACATTGGGGATTTTTTTTTTTATGTTCGCTGGAAGAGACATTTTGATTTTTAACTTATCTGTTGTTTGGTCGAGTGTGTAAGACAGATAAACACTGGAACGGCCTGTAAACACAGTTATAATGGAAAAAAAGAGGCCAGTTTCTCTTTGTTTCCTTCCCGACCATTGTGTTTTTTTAATTAAATAAAATGCTTTTCTTTCCTGAACATAGGCTACTGCGGTTCTTTCTTTCTGTTATGAGTTTGAATAAATGAATCGCTGCTGCATTTGGGCGCACTCTGAGGAGGGTGCATTTGTTCGCAGTTAAAGGAGGGTGCTGTTAAAACAACGCTATTATTTATTTCTGTTGACTGCCTGTTAGCTTTAACCGACACTATTAGCAAACTTACTCATGGACAAATAAATAAATAAATGGCCCTTGTAAAAACTTTCGACAATAGGCTGCCCTGTTGTCAGTAGTCGATATATTTGTCCAATCGCCCAACCTTACCAGAGATCAGCACAATCATGATCCATCGTGTCAAATGCAGCAGTCAGATTCAACTAAACAAGCAATGCATATTTACCACAGTCGATCGCCAACAAAATGTTATCACAGAAAGCAGATATTAGTTTTTTGTTTCACATTAAACACATCTGTTTAAACTGCAGCACGTGTTAACAGGCCAATCACAGCTCTCACTGGCTCTCTCTAATTTTCATGTTGCTGTTGCTGAACAAAGCGAAATTCATACTAGTACTACAGTGTGCCAAGACCACAGAAGTTAAAGACAGTAACGAAAAAGGTGGATGAGGTGAAGTGAAAGCCTTAAATTTATGAGAAAAGAAAAATTATTATATTATTATTATTATTATTTAGCAGATAGGCTTATGGTATCAGTTTGAAAGTTCTAGGTGACCTTGTTCTCAGGTTATCACATTTACAAACTTGGGTGTTCATGCTGCCCGCCACCTGAATGATTTTCACATCATGTTATGCACATGTGCTAAAGACTTGTCCACCATATAGGACACATAGCAACCAACAGTTGCTGTGCAATTAACAGTGTTTACACGCAAATCCATCACTTCCATTCAAACTATGAAGCAGCAATGTTTTAGCAAACAAAGAAATCACAGGGAAGTAACCAGCAACCTTTCACATCCTATGGTTGCTAGACGGTCTCAGACCAGTCTGTAGATCTGTGAGATTGAGACGTTTTTATCCTGATCCTAACCACGTGTCAGGTTAACCTGACGTGGTTATTGACTACCTGGCTATAAGACCTCAGAAGAAGCCTTTGTAAAACAACGTGGTTTTTGTACATTTGCGCCATGGCATTTCTAAGACTTGCTTATTAGCCAGTGAGAAAATAGTTTCAGTCAGACTTGCCTCTCCATCTCACATATGGTTTCTTGAGTACAGAGACCTGATCTGAAGGCTTGAGAGCAGGTTATGCCAAACCAGCAGCCGCCATCATGGTACCTACTGTCTCTGCTCTGCAGCCTGTATAAAGCTATGATGTTCCTCTGAGTATGTGCAGTAGGAGAATAGCCAGCAAGGAAAAAAAGCTTTCGAACTTTCTGTTTTGTTTTGTTTTAATAAAGTTGGTGTTTTAAAGTAGCTGCCCAGTGGCATTACAAGGATTGGTTCCTGAGCAGTCAGACTTTGAGGTTTTCTACGAGATAATGACTCTTTTAAACAGTTCATGAAGAAACTGCCATGTGTGAGACTCATAAGCCGCCCTTTTCCTTTTACTCTCCGGTGCTGTTCCTGAACTACAGTAATGCTCTTGTGATGTCACCTCTTCCCGATCAATATCGATTTCTGATTGAACAGCTCCGGTCCTGTTTGCCCGGAGAGCCACGGCAGCAGACACGGAGCTCACCTGTCCGGTTCAGCAGGACCACCGGGCTCAGCAGCGCCTCCAGCCGCCGCAGCTGCCGTCGGGACTCCTCCACCTCCCGCTCCAGCAGCCCGACGATCTGCTGCGCTGCCGCCGCGAGCCGCTCGGCGAGCAGCGGCCGCAGCAGACCGCCGGGTCCTCCGGAGGACCCAGAACCGCCGCTCTGCGTCTCCAACGCGCCCAGAACCTCCTCCGCAACCCGTGCCAGCAGCTCTGACACAGATTCCGCCAAAGCCCGGAGGCCGCAGCAGCTTGGTGGGGATTCTGTCAGAGACATCCCGCATCAGAGCTCTGCGGCCACAGGAAGGTAAACAGCCCGAAAACCTGCTATGCTCAGTATCGACGAGCCAGAGCACGACCCTGCTGGAGTGGAGGACGCATCGCTTCGTGAGAGAGACCGAGTGTTTTTATATTAAGGCGGATAAATGTACCAGCTGAGCTGCTTTAAGTGTGAACCCTGTGTTTAACTGTCTAGACCTCTGCTGTCAATCAAAATTTGGGTAAAAGTACCAAAGCAAGAAACAAACGCACAGGAGATGAGAAGTTAGATCCGAAATATCAGCCTGTATTTGGTTTCTTATACTTGTTTTTCTACTATATCTGTTGTATTTATTTTTCTGTTTTCTTTGATTTGTTTAAAAATAAAATTTTATACACACACACACACACACACACACACACCAGTTTAGAGGCATAGAAAAATGAATTTTCAGCTGTGAGGACTTCAGTTTCCTCTTCTGGTTATAAAATCTCCAGCTCATCATCAAAGCCACTTCTTTACCTGGAGGTCCGTTTTGTGTGTTAAACATGAACAGAAAGCATAATCAAGTCTTCCTTTCCTGTCACAATGATGGATTTAAAGCCAAACCAAAGAGGAAAACTTTATCCCTGCGGGGGGATAACTCGGGTTATGAGGTCAGAGTAATAGTAACAGTAATGTGATTACTCTGAGACACTCACAGTTATGTTCTCGCATTAATATGTTCCTCAGAACAGAAGATGAAGGTCATCTGAGTGAAGGAAGCAACTGTACAGACAGGAAGTACTCTGAGCTAGTATTTTGGAAACTCCAATATTTAAACCACACTAAAGAACAGAGATGAGGATGTCACGTGCTATCATCATTGTGTGGTGGACCACTGGAGGGCTCCACTCACACCCAGTTCTCAGGAAGTGTTGTTGCTGTGTTTTGGAGGGAAAAGTATTCAGTTGTGTGGTGATGAGTAATAAACGAGGAGTGTTAATCGAGAGCTCTCATGTCGTCTGTTTACCTCCACAATTGGAATAATTTCATCTTTAAATACTCTGAGGCCATCACCTTGGTTGAAACATTAACACACCACACATCATCTCACTCTCAGTCTCAGACACACACACACACACACACACACACACACACACACACACACACACACACACACACACACACACAGCATGATGTGAAACAGCATCTGTGTTTAAACAGATGCACACAGACTCAGTGTGACACTTAGTTTCAGCTTTGAGCTGCATGTTTTTCAGTCTCTCTCCCTTTTATCAGACTGAAGAGTCAAGCGTCACCTGCTCACAGAGAGAAGCTGCACATGCTCTCTCTCAGTGGCTTGTAAACAGTTTGCTGACCGAGGCCAGGCCTCCTCTTTGCGAACCTCAACTAGAACCAATCCACAGAAGAAAGGTCAGCACTGTACACTGACTCTTCACACACATTTATTTGACAATAAAAGTCTTGAAACTTATTAAATCCTTCTGATTACTCATCACTCCAACATAAAAAATTTTTTTTTTTAAATCAGCAAAAAAAAACAACTTGAAGCCACAAAGACTGTGGATCAGTTTGAACAAACTCAGGTCACCTGTGGTGTTCTTCAAACATCATGTTTTTCCTTCTTCAAATGACTTCAGAGCGACAGCACTGGGTTCCCTTCAGACTCTCCTGACCTGCTGGAGGCATGAACGTGCTGCAAAGATTTTACTGATGCAACAAAGTCAATGTCAAATCAATGTTACCACCTCAGTGCTCTGCTCAGCTCCACAGATAACTGAAGGGAAACGGCACTCTGTTTACATACTCCCTGTTCTCTTTTTTAAAATCACAATGAGTCGACCTTTAAAAATAGAAACCATTAATATCATACGCATAAATGGATCTTTTCAGCTTTCAGTTTCACATATCCCTAAATTTCATTTACAGGACTTTTTGGAAATAAGGTTGTATAAAAACATACAAAATTTAAAATGCTCAGTTCTCTCCAAAGTTAAAGCAGATTGTCGCGAGTTTAGGGCAATGGTTAAATATTGAAGGTTAAACCAAAAATCATAACTAGAATTGATCCCACTCCGGGCTGTGGGGCTGGAGCCTATCCCAGCTGCCACAGGGTGAGAAGAAGGGCACACCTGAACAGGTAACCAGGCTGACGCAAGGCTAATGCAGAGAGACAGACAACCTTCACACTCATGTCAGCGGACTCTCCACCAGCTGCTGAAGCAAAAACCAATTGTGGCACCTTGAGGGAAAATACATGTCACTTAAAGGAGGAGGAGTGCTCAGAGCTGAGAAGATTCAAATGGAAGATATCTGACATTTTATTTGAATCAACTAATCTTTAAACTGACTGTTACAGATTTCATGGAGGAAAAAAGTGGGAAAAAAGGAGGTGAAAACACAAATTGGGAAAAATATAGCTACAACATTTGTGTATACGGAATTCCTGAAGACACTGTAAGAGACAAACTATGGGAGTTTTTTAGAAACGTTTATTAAATTGGAGTTGTCCCTAAGTGATACGGAGCTGTGAATGCAAAGAAGTCACAGAGCTCTCGGCCCGAAGCCACCACCGAATGCCAGCCCCGGTCAATAACTTACTTTCTAGAACACAGAATTAAGAGAACTGGTGCTCCAGTCTGCTTGGAAAATGAATGGAAAAGAAGGGCTTACGCACCCAACAGGAAAGTCCTTAAAGAATAAGAAATTTGCTCCGTGTCTTCTTCAGCGATGGCACCGTAACTTATTACAGCCAGCAGAGGCCACAGAGAATCTGAAGAGGAGGAAGGTTCTGGGAGCTTCACAGGAGAAGAGACCCAATCCACAGAATCCAGAGATATTCAGTTTCTCTGTCGATTTGACTTTCCCTGGGTAAGGCTTGACACTTTAGTTTAACAACACTAAATATAATTTAGTGTAACCATTTCAGTTTAATTTTACACTGGAAGTTACAAATGTCTGCCTTAGAGAACTTGGAGAATAAGCCACTGTTCTGGGAGCTTGTTTTCCTGTTTATTTTGACTACTAACTACTTTGTAATACTTTGATTATTCATAACCTTACCGAGGAGAGGCCCCTCGTAATGCAAGAGCTTTCCTCTCCAAAAGGTTTTTGGGAAATTCTGATTTTGAGTAGAAACCACCATTCTCTCATTTGTTCTGTTTCAGTTAAAGTTCCAAGTTTTGTCAGATGTGTGTTGTGTTTTTGGTCACCCAAGGGTTACAATGTAAATGCTGTTTCTTATACAAGGCATGTCCTTTCAGCAGTATAGGTTACTAACACTTAATGTCAATGAGTTACAAAACCCAGTTAAAAGATGTAAACTTATTGCTGGAATGAAAGAGGAAAACCATCATATAATTCTTTGGCAGGAGACCCGCTTTACCAAAAAAGGGCACAAAAACCTAAACACCCCAGATTGAAATACATATTTTATTTATCAAACACAAAGGGACCCAATAGGGGAGTTGCAATTCTAATTTTAAAACAAATTCCTTCCAGCTGAGGAAGGACTATATATTTTGGTAAAAGGAATTCTAGACTCTAAAGTAGTGATGCTACTTAACATCTACAGACCTCCTGGACAACACAAATCATTATTAAGGACCATGTTTGATTTAGTTGCTACAGAGACATCAGGTGTTCTGATATGTGGTGGAGACTGAAATGTACAATTACACCCTACCTTGGACTCCTCAAACTTATCAAAAAATCAAAATCCTGAATCTCTTAGTACTAAAACAATTTGAATTCAAAGAACAGATCATACGTTGTTTGAAATTGCTGTACAGTCGTCCAACTGCCCAGATAAAAAATAATGGAAATCTGTCTAGGATTATTACGCTTGAGAGAGGATGTCTTCAGGGGTGTCCCCTGAACTTTACTTTGTCTGTACTCTTTATAGAGCCCTGGTTCAATGGATTAGAGAAGACAAGGAAATCGAGGAGTGGAGTATAAAATATGCTTATATGCAGATGATGTACTTTTGACCTTGTCCAATCCGGACTCTAGCCTCCCTAAATTGATGACTCGTCTTAAACAATTTAGCCAATACTCAGGTTGCAAATTAAATATACAAAAAACCCAAACTCTAACTTGCATCTATGTACCAAAAGAAAACATACGTAAAATGCATAATTTCAAATGGAATACTAACAAACTGACGTATCTTGGAGTCACCATAACAAAGGATTTGACAAAAATTTATAACTTAAATTATAACGCTATCACACAAAATATAAAAGTGGACTCAGGAAGATGGGCACCTTTGACAGTTTGTCTGTATGGCAGAATAGAAATTGTGATCATTTTTTTCTTCACAATTTTACCCCGTGTGTTGTTTCTTTTTCAGTCCCTGCCAATTGAAATTCCCCCAAAACAACTTAATGAGTGGAAAAGAATGATCTCACAACTTATTTGGCGAGATAAAAACCAGGGTACAACTTGAGACTCTACAGTTACCAAAAGACCAAGGTAGATTGTCTTTACCTAACCTGGAGGACAATTACGATTACAGCTTCAGTACTTATCCAATTAGACAGGTTTTACAGTCTTTATTGGGTGATATAAGCCTACAGGAAAAACACGTGTACACTAAAAATAATAAAGTTGTAAGGGAGTGGGTGCCTCATTGACATATTTGTGAACACCTAGAAAGGTAAAGTACATAAAAGGCTGATCTCTAAACTGTATTCATATTTACAATCATTCAGGAAGCACTACACCCAATATGTTAAGACCAAATGGGAGAAAGAAGACAAACAATAGCACGTCAAGGTCCCCTCTTTGGAGGGAATATTCCTGGAAGAATAACATTAGATTTTTCATTAACCCTAAAAATAAACCACTTCAGAATAGCAAACCTGAATCTAGTAACTGCTGGGGACAATGTGGCAACACCATGGCTGATCACTATCACATATTCTGGACCTGTCCTGCTATTAAATCTTATTGGAGAGAGAAAACGACGATTAAAAAGGTAAAAGATATTTTTGAAATGGAAAACATTTACCTTTTCTCTAAGACTCTGTAAAGAAAAATTTCAAAGATATGGTCATACAAAATGATTTTCCCATCTCAATCTCTTTTCATTTAACTTTATTTCCAGGACCTTGTTTAGTGCTCAACTGGACTTTTCTCCATTTTGTGCTGAATGGGCACTTGTGTAGACACATACAACAATATGCAAAGTTTGTATGTATGTAGGTATTTGAAGGTGTGTGTATATGTATGTAGGTGTGGGTGTATGTGTACAGTATGTGTGTATATATATGCGCATGTATAAAGGAGCAAGATGCACTGTGTATTTCTAAAGAAAAAAAATAAAGTTTGAAAAAAAAAGCAGTAGAATTGAACAAAGGTAGAGGCAAAGATTAAATGGTGGAAGTTGTAGAAAAATAAATGTTGTACAGAGTTCACGGAGGAGGTGAAACAAGCTTTCGGTGGCAGGTAGAGTTAACAGAGGACTGAGTAGTGAGAGGAAAGAGGACAAGGAGACTTAGTGGAGGAATGAGGAACTACAGGAGAGGTTAGCAAAGAAAAAGTGGGATGATTGAAAAAAGTAGACAGAAGTACACAGGCTCAGTGGACAGCAATGGTAGAAAAAGCTTATTGTGACCTGTATGTGAGACTTGACACCAAGGAAGGAGACTGGCTAGACATAGAGACCAAGCTGTTTCAAGGACTGAAATGTAATAACAAGTGAAGAGGGTGTGATGTGATGTAAGCAGTACATGGAGGAGATGATGAATGAAGAAAATGAGAAAGGATGACAGTTAGTGAATGTGATGTTTGCCTTGAGAGTGTTGATGAGGAAGTTTAAAGAAGGTCAAAAGGAGCTTCACTGTGTCTTTGTGGGTCAGAGGGATCAGATGATTAGCAGTTCAGAGAGGAACTGCGGTAAGTAAGGAGTGGCAGAGAAGTCTGTGATGGTGGTGCAGGACATGTATGAGGACAGAGACAGTGGTGAATTGAGTGGTAGGAGTGACAGGGTGGTTCAAGGTAGGGCTGGGCCATATTATACCGTTCACGGTAATACCGGTATAATGTTAGGCAACGATAGGAAAATGAAATATCGCGATAGAATGGTGAGTAAAACGCGCATGCGCAGTGCCTTTGTTTTCATACGCACATGGCCGATTGTTGAGTGAAACAGATGAACCAGAATTGGTTTGTAAAAATGGTGCAACTTCAGTGATGTGGAACTGGTTTGGTGTTTGTCCGTCAGATACACGACAAAGCACATTTTTTTGCAGAACATGCAAGCGGCCGTCGTTATTGTCGTATTTGTCGGACTAAGATGCTCTTAAATCTGGGAGTAATCTGGGTCCTAAACTCCGTATGCTTCAGGTCAAACGAACACTGCAGCATCACTGAGGTTAAAAACTGTCTAAATTCTTTCATCTTTAATAAAACGATCAGCATTGCTGCTTTACCAGGTGTAACTATGAAGTTTAACTTCCAGGCATCCATGAAAACAAAATTTATTACATTTAACAGAGTTAGAAGTTAGCAGGAAGCTAGCGGAAGTTAGCTCGCTAGTTTCGCTAGTTACCTAAGACATGATATAGCATGTTCTGACTGAGAGATTTCTGAAAAAATTCAAACGTACAGCTCTGCTATCACTTCCAACATAAATGAAGACAGGAAACTAAACAGCAGTGACGTTTGTAGGGTTACTGAAGTTGGGCTAGCTGGTATATAATGATGTGCTACGTGATCGCTAGCGACACAGCTATGTTAGCATAACATAAACAGTGAAGCTGGAGGACGAACACTAACACTTTTCCACTTATAAAAGTTAACTGTGAAGGTTCCTATGGTTAGAGACAAATGCAATCGCATGGCAGGATGCTGTAAACGGACCAAACTTCAGTCAGGAGAACAACTGAGATAATCCATCCACAATACGAGGTTAGTCATTAATATACTGCAACAACATGGGAATAGAGCAGCTGCCAGAGAATTCAACATTAATGAATCAATGGTACAGAAGTGGAGGAAGCAAGAAGAATGAGTTTAATAAAGTTTGATTTATCTGACTGCTTTGTTTCGCTTAATGTGCCTTATAATCCCGTGCACCTTATGGTCCGAAAAATACGTACTGCACACTGCAGTTTAATTTTGCAAAGCACCTCTTTTTAACTTCAGTGGATATTATACATGGTTATGCTCAGGATATGTCAGCCCATTTCTACTGGAAATGCCTTTTGGTTAAACTTTCAGCAAGGAATTAGCATTTGCACTGTTACATTTTTATAAAGCTTTAATGTACATAAAAACCAGCTTCTTATTTAAGTGAAAATAAATGGAAGGTTGTCTTTGTGCGCTAGTAATGTTGTGGAGTTGTATTTTGTCTCGCATCAATTATATCGTCAGTTATATCGTTATCGCAAATTTTCAAATATATATCGTGATAAATACTTTTGGCCATATCGCCCTGCTCTAGTTCAAGGTAGAGGTGGGATTACATCAGCTTTGCTCTGAGCCCCTCTTGTTTACTGTGGTGAAGGACCGACTGAGAGATAAGGTCTGTGGACTGCGATGTTTACAGATGACGCCGTGATCTGTAGTGAGTAGGTGGAGGAGAGCATGGAGAGGTGGAGGTATGCTCTGGAGAAAAGAGGAGCCAGTAAGAGGAAAACAGAATGCATGTGTGTGAATGAGAGGGAGACAGATGGAGACGAAAGGAGTACAGTCAGTGAAGGTGATACAACTACCATTATGAAAACATGACCAACTTTATAGAGATTCCATTTTGTCACTTCCTGTCACTTTTGACACTTCCTGTCAACTGTAGTGTTCTGTGCTATTATGAATAATGGGGAGGTGCTGTGGTACTACAACTGCGTGAATCCTAAGTAGAAGCTGTCCTCTGCTGTCCTCTGCGGCTCTGGCCTCGAGTCCTCCTGGCCAGCTAAATGCACTTTAAGGTGCCCATTAAGCGAGCGTTTGGCCTGGAAACTTTTCCCACAGACCCTACAGGTGTATGGTTTCTCCCCGGTATGGATCAGCATATGTCTCTTAAGGTCCACATCCTGCATGAAGCCCTTCCCGCATACCTGGCACAGGAAGCGGCGCTCCTTGTTGTGAAAGCGGACATGTGTGTCCAGGGTCTGTTTTTGGGTGAAGCCTTTCCCACACAGGCTGCAGGAGAACGCCCGCTCACCCGTGTGGATTTTCAGGTGTGTCTTCAGGTTGCCACTCTGGTTGAAAGCCTTCCCACAGAAGCTGCAGCTGTAGGGTTTCTCCCCAGTGTGGATCCTCAGGTGCATCTGCAGCGCCGATTGTCCCGGGAAGCACTTCCCGCAGATGCTGCAGGTGCCGCCAGCCTCGCGGTGAGAGCGCAGGTGGGCAGCAAGGCTGTCAGAGGACTCATAATGGTGTCCGCAGAGTCCACAGCGGCAGTCCGTGTCTTGCAGGTGAGTCGCCACGTGTTTCACTAACAGGGTCTTCCTATCAAAGGTGTCACTGCAAACTTTGCAGCGGAAGGACGGTATTGAAGTGCGGTTCGTCTTAATTCTGAGGCTGTCGTTCTTCTGATGAGTTGCCATGTGTTGCCGCAGACTGTTCCGTTTACTGAACTCCTCACTGCAGACACTGCAGGTGTGCACTGCTGAGCTCCTGTGCTCCTCCATGTGGCGCTCCAAAGAGCTCATGTGACAGAAGGCACGGCTGCACTCTTTACATTTGAAGGCTTTCTCTTCTGCGTGGACACGCAGGTGTGACGTCAGGTTGCCCTTCTGACTGAACTTCTTGCCGCAGAAGTTGCAGCTGTACGGTTTCTCTCCTGTGTGCAACCGCACATGCATTTCCTGCGCCAGGATGGAATGGAAGGTTTTCCCGCAGAAGGAGCATGTTTTGCTTTTGTCCTGGTGCATCTGCAGGTGAGCCTTCAGGCCATCGGCAGAGTCCAGGCACTCCCCACAATAACCGCAGCGAAAGTCTGGATTGCTGGCACAGGTGTGCAGGACGTGTTTGAGTAGGAAGCCTTTCCCTTGCAGTGCCCGGTCACACACGTGGCAGCTGAAGCTCTGAGCCAGACTCGAGCGCCTCCGGTTGCTTGTGACACTGAGCGCCGGACGGTTACGCTTCTTCCTCCTCAGAGGTCTCAGAGTCCGCCTATGTTCAATCCAGTCACTGTCCGGGTCTCCATTGCTGCTCTCAGAGAGGGGTGGGTGGTAGGATGGCGAGGGCGAAGGAGGTGATGATGGACAGGAAACGTTGCTGCCATCGTGCTCCTCTGGATTGGAGGGATCCTGGTCTGTGGGGTCGTTTGGGTCGTACAGCGTCACTGACTGCAGAGGATCTGAGGAGGAAAACAACAGTTGTCAGCATCAATCAGATAAGAACACCTGAGATGCACCTAGTGATGGCTGAGTTATTGCAGCTAGGGCTGGGCAATATGAGGAAAATCTGATATCACGTTTTTTTGGGGGGGGGGGCTACATCACGATACACAATATATATCATGATATGTTAAATAACCTCCAAAAACAAATGCTATTTTCATATAGTGCCCAAAATTGCACTGGTATACTCATTCAAATCGACAATTAAATTTTTTTATTTTTTTACTTTTTTTACTTAAACACAAAAAAATGTGAATAAATTGAAATATTTTATTTTAACCAGTCAAAGGTTTTTCACAAGTGACTATACATTACAGTATAGGTATGTCCCAATTCATAGGCCGCATAGGACCTGGCCTTCGCGGTCTATGTGGGCCAGGTCCTTTGAAAGCCAAGTAAGCCAGAAGTGCGAGGCTGTTGAATGGGATGGTCTAGCTTTCAGATTTGCGTCACCAGCTGTCGCGGTGGAGTTTAATAAACTCAGCCGTCTGCTCCTTGCTCGCTAATATATAACATGACATTGGAGTAAATTCTCGACCATCTCACATTTCTGTTTAACCATTTCCTGTTTGACGTTTATTCAGCTGTGTGAAAACTATAACTTTAATCTCAGCTAAACCGATTTACTCAGAAACAAATAAAACACTGAAAAAAGGACCCGACCCATCCTTAAAATCTGGGGAAATGAAGGACACAGTTGTTGGCCGCATTTGGAGCAGCCTTCAAATTATGACAGCCTTCGTCGCCTGGCCGTGAGGTAATTGGCCTTCAAATGCGGCCTCTGAAGGATGCGGCCTACGAATTGGGACATACCTTATGTCTCTTTCTGTGGTCAACAATAGACCTTTAACAAGCAAAAGATCATAGAAACAAAAAAGTACATCAAGCAATAAATTCACGAGACAATAAAACAATTGAGATGAAAAAGGTGCTCTTTTGTGCTTATAACATATAAAAACTGTAAAATAAAAATGTGATGACCTCAAATTACAGAAATAAAAGTCTAGAGAGCGACCAAGAACATTTATTGGTAATTGCAGCTGGTTTATTTAACATTTTCTTTAGTGTGTGGGGAGACGCTGATATGTGGAGTTTAAAACATTCTTAATTTTGTAGTGGATGACGTTTCAGCTGGTAGAATAAATTTGTGGTACTGCTACCTTTTGCGGCAATATTTTTATGGCATGTTTTGCAAATTGCCGCATTTTATTCAGCACCGTCCTTATGAAATCCAAATGACAGCGACTCTCATTCCCTCACTCATGTGAAACTCCCGCTGTCGCCATAATTTTTTTCCTGTCTGTATTTTTTCCAACTGGTTTTCCAGTTAGGAGTGGGGATTAATGTTGCATTTGCAGCATGTAAAAACTTACAGTCAGTTACATGCAGACACTCTAATATTTCCATGGCAATTTATACCCGATGATTGCGATTAAGTCATTTTTAACCATCATACGTGGAAAAACTTGCGATACATTGAGTATATTCGATATATCACCCACCCCTCATTACAGCATGGAGCATTTTGAGATATGTTTTGATCCATTTCCTCAGAGGCCGCTTTCGAAAATCAAAACATGTACTGAATGAGTGAGCTTGTTAGATGAAAGTTAGACTGACTCAATGCTCCACCCTGTGGTGGAAACCGGTATTACAGTAACTACAGTAACTCTGACCCCAATGGTTCTTTCTTCATATTCTGTTTTAGTTACATTTACAAGGTTTTCAACTCCTTTTAAAAACTGGAATTTTAATTCCTTTACTCTGATTTTATTTAGGATAGGTCCTGACATCAGCTGGATGATAGATCTACTTGGTGCAGATCAATGCAATTTACATTAACATATGGACCATTTTCACCCCAGAGCCCCGAGAATCACCAGCTTTGGTCTGAGCATATGCGATCCGATTCCTTTATTTGGAAAAAATGAACACAGAATCAGGCTGTGTGGTTTGTGTTAACCTGATGCGGAAGCATCTTTAATTTCTGACTTAACCTGCTAAGATTTCCGGGCTGCTTGGAGCATCAAACATATATCATACCGGCAGAGCAGTGAAAAGTTTAATGTATATTTAATGTATATTTTTAAGATTAATATTGTCATGGTGATGATTCTGAAATACTTTAATGCACATACCTGCACACTGCACAGTCACCTTAATCTCAGCTGTCCTCTGACTGGCTGTTTGCACAATGGAGGTATTTCCTGTGTGTAGAAGAACCTTGAAGTTAAACCAGAGAAGAAACAACACACAACAATACACTGGATAATAATATAACAATATGTACATGCAAATCCTAAAATCTGTCCCACCAGCAAAACAAACACATTTTAATTCCCATCTATAAGATGACTGACTCATGAGTGACCATAAAAATCCACATAGGAAAGCTTAAAATAATCTATAGAATGTTTTTCCATGAAAAGCAAAGACATGAAAACATGTTTTAACCTGATGGAGACCTCCTGTTCTTTAAGGTGGGCCCCTTTTAAAGAATTTCAAACTCCCCACGCAGCTCAAAGCTGCTCTGCTCACAACAAAGCTGTTGGACCTTTTTAAAAGTGACGCAGCAGCATCGAAAAAATCCAAGTATGTAAATATCGCTGAATCGTCATTGTCACGCTCACGATTTCCACATAGATTTGTGCGTGTGCACTGTTGGTAAATGAGGAACACAGCCTGTGAACACACCTCACCGTGCTATCAGCTCTGTTACACAAAGCGGAAGAAGCATGAACATGCTCCAGAAACAGCGCCATCTCTTCAGAACCAAAAAAGCGTTTAAAGTGGACTGAAAAGTGGAGGGAACAGCTGACGACCCTCAAAGCCTTTTTTTTTCCAAACACATATGCAGGTGGTTACATATGGTTAAAATAATTCAAATGCAGTAAGTATACACGTTTTTCATAGAAATATAGTCTATAACTTAATTATTGTCTGTAGCCCACATAATTACACACTTTAGTTACATAAAACATGTGAGTTTGGATCTTATGTACTGTATAGCCTGTATAATAAATAAATGTGTAGCCCAATAAGTATAAAACCCAGAAAGCTACACAACATGGGGCGGTTCATTTACAAACACAAGTCTAACTTAAGTTTCACACTGTTTTTGTTAGAAAACAATCACATTGTTACAGCTTAAAATACACAAAATGTCAGAAATCTGCACTGTTATGAACAAAAATTTAAACCTAATTTTTCATGATTTGTTGGATGAACCCTCTGAGGTCTGAAATACAACCGGCCATTTTTGACTCCTTTTGAGTTTACGTTTGTATTTCACCCTCATATTGTTTCATTTTATTTTTTTCCCCTTGCCTCGTTTGGTATCTTTCTTTTCAGCTCAACTGAATTTAGCTGTTTTTTTCACTGACATACTGCATTAGTATTACTGATCTGAAATCACACAAAGAACTTAAAATCCTAGTAGTATTTCTTTACTGTAAAAAAACCCCCACAGACATGTTGAGTAAATTTTTATAACTTGAAATGCAAATATAAAATGTATATTTTGGAAACATAAACAACAATTTATCTAAAAATGCAGCCAATAGACCTGCCGTTTTTTTTTTTTCATTTTGTACAACCATTTAAAAATATTACTAAAACTAAAATGAGAGAACAATCAGGTGTTGCAATAAGATGCCCCACAAATGTTGTGTGCCAGTAAAAACAGGAGAACAGCACAGGGATAAACCTGCAGGCCTGACAACAGGAGGTGTATCACTCCGCTGGTTTTCTACTTAGTGACAGTGTTTACGTTGCAAATGTGCCTTAGTGACATTCATTAGCGTCCTCACTGACACACAAAACAAAAAAACGACTACACAACAGAACAACTACACAGCACAACACAACACACTAAATATACACTCCACACTAAACGTCACAAAACTCTCCCCTCTTCCTAAACAACCAAATCCCACGTGTTGACTTTTTTTTTTAATTGGTCGACATGGTACATTTTTCCACCGATAGGAAACATGTGGCTTTATTTCTTTCTTTACTGTTTTCGCGCTGTCCTTAGAAAACGCTTAAAACACACACACACACACACAAACGTGACGACAGTATTTAGAAAAAAGCATGGCTTATATATATATTATCATAACTCTGGATTTACTGGCCTGTAATTAAAATGTAAAAACTTTGAAGTCCGAACTCTCAATGTGGGCTGAAATAGAGACTCAGCGTGGCTGCAGGGTCCGTGTACTTTTCGGTATTTGAAGTTTCGTTTCAGAAACAAAAACGAAAAAACGATATTTAAAAGAATTTTCATTTTTTAAATTTTTGATAAAGAATAAAATGGGCGAAAATAACTTGTTTTTTCATTCGGTGGTAACAAATAGCCGTCATACACTTAAAATTAGACGTGCTTTTTTGGATTCTTTCGTGATTCAAATAATGAAAGTATACTAGCGCAAAAACAAAAAAATAGACGCATTTTCAATGTCTGAAACGGGAAGTACTTCTTCTGCGCGTTTTTTTATGGCGCGTGCACACCGTCCCCCACACAAGAGATCGACGGCCTTAAAGTTACACTGGAATAAACAGAGGATGGACCATTACGTTGTTTTTAGGAAAACTAAGAGAGTGACACTCCGGGACGAAGACATGACTGCAGAAAAACTGGGTCGCATCTTTCAGGTAGATATGTAAACTTCGCAAACTTTGCTTTCAGCAGTTTTTTTATGAACGTTATTGTTCTTCCTTACTGCGGAACGGCTAACGTTAACATTTGGTGATTTCATGTAGGCCTACTTTTACTAATACTATGTCTAGCCGTCTTCATTGTGCTAATATGTGAATTGTGCACATGTGCTAATGTGTAAATAGTTATTCATTGACTTTTACCGGCTACTAGCTAATAAGTAAGCGTTTAGAGCCTATTAACCGTGTGCACAGGAGTAACACGTTAGCAGAGCAACGTGATTTACGGAAACTTTTCTTAAACAGGTATCCGCGCATACTCTGTACATCACGGATGATTCAAACGTGGCTATGTTCCCCGGTGCGGTCTCTGGTGTTTTCAGCGCATTAGACCTTACACCCAGAGGTCACTATGAAGTCCACGGAGAAGACATGGAGTCAATTCCAACAGCAGGTTCCAGCGGGCAGCGTTTTGCATTTATGCGAGCACCAGCTGTGGCAGCGTCTGCACCTTCATGTTCACAGCAGGCTACTTCAAGTTCCCCTATGTCCTCCAAAACATTTCAGAGGTAGGATGAGTCTGTGTTCTTGAATATTAAATTACAGAACAGGCAAAATAAAAAGAAACATAAGGTGCATGGATAGTTGAATTGTTAAGAATAGCAAAGCTGTTTTAGTACAATTTGCCTATAGCAATCACTGAATGGATTTGTGGCCTGCTGTCTTTTACAAGATATGTAAAATTATT